TTGCCTCCATCATGTCTACTTTCAGATTTTTTCGCACTTTTTTGACTTTTCTGTTTGGTAAAGTTCAATCCGTTTTTTCTGGAATAGAACGGTTTCCGCCATATGTACGGTATAACGTTCTTGCAGAAATTTCTATTTACATATGCACATGAATATAATGTTGATAGTAGACCGGATGGGTCATTTTCATACTCTACTTCAAGATGATCGAAAATTTCTTCCAAAATGTCTGAAGGTAAGAAAGTTGATGAGAATGATGGATGCGGAACCAATGTAGATGAAGATGAGAGCATTTTGAAAATCAAATCAGTGAAAATATCTATGAATATGACTTTTTTATGTGCGCAGTATTTTTTTTTAGAAAAACATATGAAAAAGAAATTCGTAATGCATGCATACGTTTTTGGGGGTATTTATAATCTAGAGAGGAAGCACATAAATCCAAAAACGTACGTGAGTAGCTGCAATTTAGTTTATTCTATCGAAATTGGGTAGTATCTAAGTGCCGTAAACGTGATAAAAGATGATAGAAACAAAATAATGAGCCTTGCCATTGTACGACACATGCCATTGATGTAACATTGCTTATGCTTATTCTTCAACAATAATGAATGGGTTTCTTTATGACAGCCTTTGATATACAGTATACTGTGACTGATCAATGATCAAATCACACCATTTATCAAGTTATGTTTGTATTTCTGTTTTGATCACAAAGGTCACAAAGAGTAGTAATCCTGTACTGCGTACCGGAAATATAGATCGGAACAGAATGGATTTTTGTTAGTCTTTTCTTACAGCTAATTGCGTCACACTTTATAATTTTCTAGCAAACATTCAATATTTATTGTATTTTGATCAATTTCTAAAATTCTTGTGAAATAAGATTTTTTTATAAATATAATTTTTTGATTTTTATTATAATATTAATTTTTATTACAATATTATATTTTTTTATAATACATAGATAACTTTCTTTAACTATAAATGTTGAAACTATAGTAAAAAGTTTTGCAAAAATATGTATAAAGAAATAATATATTTATAAAAATTTATTTCTTTAATTATTATTATTTTTTTTATATTTACTTCTAATTAAACTATTAAAAATGTGTTTATTGATTTTTTTAAATAAACAACAATATAATATTATATTAAAGTTAAGTTATTCTTTTATAATAAATTATTTATTAATAAATTATTTATAAATTTATTATATATATAATTTTTAAATTTTTAATATCAAAAAAACTATTATATTGCCTATATAAATTAATTAATTATTAATTAATTATTTCATTATAAAAAAATAAATCTATTAAGTTATTACTATATATATTAATTATTTAAAACTTTTCAAATTCTAATTTTTTAGATATCAAAATCAGCTTATATTTAACCTATTATTTTTATATAATCTTATAATTCTAAAAATAAAATTTTTATTAAATTAATTTTTAATTTAATTATTTATAATTAAAAAATCATTTAATTTTTATAATTTTAATATTAATAAAAAATTTTTAAAATAAAAATTTATAAGAATTTATAATTTAAATATTTTTTTAAAATAATTGATAAATTGATAAAAAAATTAATAAAAAATCTTTTATAAAAAAATTTTTTATATGATTTTTATAAATTTAATATTATTTATTAATTTATTAATTTATTAATTTTATTTTAATTTTCAATTAGATTAAATTTTATTAAAATTAATAAAATTTATTTATTTATTTTTATAATTAAACAAATATTTATTTGATTTTTAAAATAAAAAATATAATAATATAAATATTTTTATATTATTATTTAAATATCTATAATTAATTTCAATTTTTAAATATAATTTTAAAAAATACTATATATAAAGTTGTTTTATCTTTTTTTTTAATTTTTTAAAAAGATTTGAATTCATTATTTTTAATATATTATTATAATTATTTTGACAAATATTAATTATATTATATTTTTAATTTCTTTTTATACTTTTTTTTAATTTTGTTTTATAACATTCTTATAAAATTATTTATAAAATTATTATTATTTGTTAATATTTTTATTTAATTATTTGCTATAGAACTAATATAATTTTTATTAAAATATATATATATATATATATTATAAAATATTATATTTAGAAAAAATATATTGTATTATATTTTATTAAAAATATTTTTAAGTGATATTATAATAATAAAACTTTTAAATTGTTAAAATTATATATACAGAGAGTGATCACAAGTATCAGAATGATTGGATAGTGATTAATTTATTAATGATTTTTTATATATAAAAAATAAATTTTTTTTTAAAAAACTTTTTTCTACTCTATTTCTTTATTTATTTAAAATATCAATACTTTGTTGTGCCACCTTGGGTCTCAATACATACTTGAATTTGGCAAGGCATACTTTCAATTAATTTATAAATATAATCAAATGAAATTGAATATCATGTGGTTTTTACTTTGTACTCTAAATCATCAATATTTTTTGGCTGGTTACGTAAGTTACATACTTTTCTATTAACCTCGTTCCAGAGGTTCTCGATTAGGTTAAGATTGGGACTTTGTGCAGGCCAAGATAGTACAGAAATACCTGCCAACTTACGAAAATCAGCAGCGATCTTTGCACAATAGGGAGAAGCATTGTCCTTTTAAAAAGTCTCTCTACAATCAATTAACCTATGCAATGAAAGGATAATATGCTTCTGCAATACTTTAAAATATACTTTTCCTATCATAGATTCATGAATTGGAACAAGTGGCCCCAGCCCACTTCACGAAAAGCACCTCCAGAATATTCAGGTAAGACTATGCCTCACCATAATACTCAGACAAGAAGTGTCAAATTCTTTCTCTGATATTCGCTACACATGAAAGCTGTGATCCTGCGAGAACTGATTAAATATGGACTTATTAGACCACATGATTTTTCGCCACTTTGCAATTGACCAGTTTCATTGCTTCAGTATCCAAGCTAACCATTTTTCTTGGTTTTTTTCTGAGATTAGTGGTTTGATATGGGCAATACAAGAGTGCAGACCAATTTTTTTGAGAGTACGTCGAATCGTAACTGCTGACATGTTGGTTTTGTTTTTTTTATTCCATAGGTTCTTGATTTCACGGACAGAGAGATGACAATACTTGGCATTGTCAGTGACAAGTTTTTTTAGCATGATTTGTACGCGAAAGTTAAATATTGACTCCGGGCCACTATGTTTTTGGGGTGTTGTGGATCCTGTTTCTTTATACCGTTTTATAATGGTAAATGCAGTAGTCTTGCCACATTGAACACTTTTGGCGATTTTTTTATATGAATCACCACGTAATTATTCATAAAGGATCGCCCCACGTTGCTCAGCAGTTAATTCTTTATTTTTTTCAGCCATCATTTTAATAAATAAATCATGTGTTAATAACATAACTGCTTATAAATATAATAATAGGGGAAGGGTGGAAATAACATGTAATTAAATAAATTATACTATGTGTAAACAAAAATAAGTAAATAAAAAATAAAAACATAACTGTTCTGATACTTGTGATTACCCTCTATATATAATAATATGGAAAGAAATTATTATAAAATAAAAAATAAATTGTTATATATATTTTATTTTTTAAAAAAATATTTCAATTTAGATTAATAAGATATATTTATTAAAAAAAACAAAATATATTATATCATATAATAAAAAATATTATTAAATATATGGTTGAAAAATGTCAAGTATTTGCTTGTATTTTATTATAAAAAAAAACTAAGAAATATAAAAACTCTATTGTTAAAAAAAAAAATAATAATTTTTAAAAAGTTGTTTTTAGAGTTGATAAAAAATTAATGAAAAAGTTAATATTTTTATTAATTTATATTATGTATAAATACTTAATGGATTTTTAATATTTTTAATTATAATATTAAAATAATAGTAATGAATTTAAAGGATTTGATTATTATTATTATTTTTTTTTATAGTGAAAAAGATGATTAATACCTAATGATTTTTATTGAACTTAATTAAAATCATATATATGAACTGTCTTATATATATTAATATTCATTAGGAAATTTTTTTGGCGAAGATCTTCGCAAATCTTCGGGCGTAGACCTCCGGAGAAACTCCGTCGTCGTTAA